GATCTGCGTACAGGCGTCTACGTGTGTGGCCGAGGCTCGCATTCAAAGCACAGGCAGCTTCTGCTGTAGATACCTATGCCTAGCACTCCATACGAGCATGTAACCGTAGATGTGCACCCCTCACAATCCAATTCCCTCCAACAAGCCATTGGCCTCGCAGGCCATCAACGGCTGCAAGGCCCGTCAATGTCAAGTGGGGGCAGTCGAAGCTTGAAACTCGTTGTGGAGGAGCGCATGAATCCCCTGCATTTTCCAAGGCCAGGGTCGCCACCTATCGTGAGCGTTGTTAGTGCTGGCGCGAGACACGCCGCCGAATCTCAGACCGTCGCCACGGTCGGCGCCCGATTGGTGAGAAGGCACGGGAAGAGAAACGCAAGAGGAAGAAAAGAGAGAAGAGACCAGTAAAAAACAATCACTGCCGGAAGAGCGGAAGAGGCTCGCTCCATGATTACTCGTCACAGCGCTCCAATTGGGTACTTGTCATTGGTATCGATGCTTGGTCCTGTTGCACACCTCGCAAGCCCGATGATTGTCACGGCTTCTTTTCTTTTCCGGCGTGTTCGCTGCGTGACATGGAGAGGCGGCGGAACTGAATTGTGGCGGGGAGGCGAATGACGACAGACGCAGAGCAATGGGGGAAATGAATTCAATGTCACTTGAAGCATCGTGGAGTGAAGTGCATTCCTGGGAAAGGCCGCAGCCACTATCATTCCTGTCCCGAATTTAATCCCGTGGCGCGCAATCAAGAGAATACCTGTGAGATGAGATGAGTAGCAGTAGCAGAAGGAAAAGATTAGATGTAAAGAAATATCTTTGAGAGTAGGAAGAAGCGCTCGTGATTTCCGCATTGTCTTTGTGCAACATCAATTAATTGATGCTTCTTTGTTGCAGTGAATGCCGGCTTGTACTTTTACGTGTACATGTACGTAACACCAAACAACACCTGCAGCGCCGTTGCTCAGCCTCCGCCTCCCAGTCGCTCCCATTGATCAGTTGAAGCCAGCCTGCATGCTTGAACCTTTCATTTCGCACAGCCGAGCCACTCGATACGACACCCATTAATCGCATCCATCCCGCAAAGCACTGCACTGCACTCCGTATATTACTGGCACGAAACCCTGCACCCAATCGCCAGGCCCGGCCACATCCCGGGCTGCGAAGCGCTAGGGGCCACCGACTCTTCCCGTAATTGATGGGCTTACAGGTACGAGTACATGCCAGCACTCTACCTACTAGAGGTAATCAATGCACGCATTTGATGCAAGTCGGATACCTCCACTGATTGCTGACCCATGGAGAGCCTCAGCGCACAGCGCACAGGCCCAGGCACAGGCACAGGCACTGTCCGGTACCTTACAGGGCCACCTCGCCCGCTGCCGTCTGGTGGCTGATGTGCATCCGTCCAATTGTCGTGGCCGGCTGGTACTGCAATCCCTCGCTCCAGTCGTCTCCCTGTTTTCCTCGAGACCTGCAAAGAACGTGCAGGTTCGCAGCTGGCCCAGCCCTGTTCGTGTTTCTCGCATCGCCACGTCGTCTTGTCCCCTTTGCATTCAATTTGCATCTGATCCCCCCCCCCCCCCCAAACTTGTTGTATCCATCCATTGAATCCATCGTCGCAAGCGCCGTCCCTAGGAATTCTTGTCCCGGCGGATCTGCACCCACCGTTGCCGCCTGTGCTGCCAAACACTGCACCCTTCACCTGGTCTTGCTTGGTCTTGGTCTTGTTCTTGTACCTGTGCAGCGCTCCAGCTGTCTTTTGGTACCAGCCCCGTCGCACCAACTCCACCGTCCTCCGTTTTCCTTTTCTCCCCCCTTCAATCCGTGCCATTTCTCCATCTTGCACCGACATCCGCCATTTTTTTCTTCCTTCTTTCAATCCTCTCTTGACGACTCGGCGACCCTCGCAAACTCACGCCTGACGCCGTCGCTTTTCCTTTCTTTTTCTTTTCTTTCTTCTCTCTTCACTCGTTCTCCCTTCGGCTGTGCCGGACACCAGCTACGCGCATTACAACACACACGCCCCCCAAAAAATAAACACGTCTGTTCTACTCCCGCCTGATCGACAATCGCCTCGACCCTCAACGACACTCTTTTCCCCAAAGCGCACCCAATTACGCCGTCGACTGTCGCATCCGGCCGCTCGACCCCCCCCCCGACCGACAAGCTGGCTAATTCTCTTATGCCCCCGTACTCGGTTACTTCGCCGTCAATACTCAAAATGGATCACTCCAACATCTACAGACGACGAGGCTTCCAGTCTGGCAACATCTTGGGAGACCCATTTGCGCTCGCCACCACGTCTATTGCTTTTGTGCGTTCCGTCCCGCAGCCCTTCCCCCCCTTTCTCGCCCGCCGCGTTGAATCAAAATGGTAAGCGTCAGAGCTAACGGGTTGGTCTAGCTTGCGTGGCTTATCACCATTGTCGGATGCGTCATCGGCCAGATTCAAGAGACGTCCGACGACCCATTCCCCAAGTTCGCTTGGTGGGCAAGTATATACAGCCTCTTCCTCATCATCGGCATTTTCTATGTTGTCGGCAGCGACACGATTCAAACCTATCATGTGGCGATTACGGGATACACTGCTGGAGGCATGGTGCTGGTAACCTCGTCCGTCAACTCGCTGGTATACTCAAAGAGCGGGGCTAGAGAGGCTGCGGCTGCTGGCTTCATTCTCCTGTCCATGGTTGTGGTACGTTGTCGCAATTTCAAGCTGACATCTTTCTTTCTTCCAGTGACATTCTCTTTCACACTTTGCGGATGCTGACATGTAATGCGCGCACAGCTCGTGTGGACTCTGTACTTTGGATCAACACCTTCTGCTACTCCCCGTGCTTTCCTGGACTCCTTCGCCCTGACCAAGGAATCGGCCACCATGCAGCGACAGACCATGAGCAACTATGGCGGAGGCATGGGCCGCCCCGAGACATCCAACTCCGTTCAGCCGCCGCAAATGTATACGTCTGCCCAGCTCAATGGCTTCGAAAATCCTTCGCCCGTTGGCGGCGCCTCTCAAGTTGGTGGAGGACGCGGCTCAAACGTTCCCAACTTTGCTGGTAGTGCTGGACCGGCCCAGATCAAGGTGACAGGCCCTGACGCTGAAGTAGTACCACCCACCGAATATCCCTACCGAGCAAAGGCCATTTACAGCTACGAGGCCAACCCCGACGACGCCAACGAGATCTCCTTCGCAAAGCACGAAATCCTAGAAGTATCCGATGTCAGTGGACGATGGTGGCAGGCGCGGAAAGAAACCGGAGAGACTGGTATCGCACCCAGCAACTATCTCATCTTGTTATGAGCCATGACATAATATCCAAGCGGGGAGTACGTACCGGGGAAAGTGAGCCCTCCATGGGTGTTCGAATTGGACAACCTTTGGATGGAGGTAGTGACGCACCTACGGGTCCGGGCTACCATTCTCGCATATACCCTTTTCCCCCTTCCCTTTTACTTCCCCGCGCTCTCTCTCTCTCATCTCACTTGACGTTGTGTTGGTTGTTTTTGTTCACGCCTCAGAGTCACGACTCCCGGGAATTTTTTGCGCAATCGGGCCAGGGATATATATTGGATGGAGTATATTTGGACGAGACCACTCATGGAGGATCGCCTACGACACCGGAGGGGGTAAACGCGTCAGCCTTGCCTCCTCTTTGTTTTGGCTCTTTGTCTCTGTTGTTTTCCAAGCTGATTCTTTTCTTTTATTGCTCTTCTTTTGTCCATCTTATCATCGACGTACGAGACGTTTTTTTTCTGTTCATTTTGTTATTTCGTCCCCTTCTTACGCTGCCATCTGCTGCTGCAAAAACTCTTCTTTTTCTTTCATCTTTTATGACTTCTACATATATCCCTCTCTACCAAATCATGGAATAAAAAAGAAGCAGCTAGACGCGGTGACTTTTTCTTTTCTCTCCCACCTTTTTTTAGGCTACGATCTATTGATTTTTCGTCCTTTTGTTTTCTTTTTCCTCTTTTTTTTTCATCCATTTCTTTCTTTGGCGGGGAGACTGAACGGAGGGAGGGAGGGCCAAATGTGTACGTATGCGAATTGCTCCGAGGGAAAAAAAACCAAAAGAAAGAAGAGAATACGGGCTTGCAGGAAAGGATGGCAGATACGGGATTGGCGCTGTTTGGTAGAAAAAGTAGGGTCAATGTCTGTCCCATGCAATTGCGATGGGGGTGATGTTGGAATGAAAGTTTGAAATGATACCTACCTTTTGGTTTGCAATGTGCACTTGTGTGTCTTGTGAAGTTGGTTGGTTGTGCTTGGTGACAGTTTACGAAGGGAAGGATTGTGAGCATACGAGTACGATGGGTTGCAGGAAATGGGAGTGGAATTCTTTGTGATGCTGTTGGGAAAAGCTTCGTGACGAGAGAGGGGGAAAAACTTGTGAAAAAAAATCAAACATCTTCAAACAGCTAATTTCACAAGGGAGAGAGGGAGACGAGATATTGCCAAATGCGGAAGCTCACGAGGCATGCAAGGAGGAGGTGTGGTGATCAAATGTCTTCATCAAAAGCCGTGCTCGTATAGCTAATAGTAGTAGCAACATAATAATAGTAGCCCGTAACAACATGCTACTAAGATACGAAAACTCAGACCGCGGGTCCAGACCAAGCCAGGGAGAGAGAGAAGCCTCAAATTCTGGCGAGGAGGTAAATGCTCAAAGCTGATAGGGCGAGACATGGCGGCCTCAACGCGTGCGCGCAAGAGGCAGGTTTGCCCAAGCGCAATCGGAGGGCGGACGCTGCTCGTCAGGCCGGTATGCGGGCAAGATTTCGCGGAGACAAAGGCATCGTGAAAGCCGATCCTGCCGGCGTTGTTGTTGTGGTGGTTGAGGAGGGTGAGAGGGCAAGGGCACAAGGGCACTGCCTTTGGGTGTCTCTCTCTAGTCGTGCACCTATCCAAGAGACGGACAGTCTTTTTGACCACTCTACAAAAAGTAGATCAAACTTTCAGCTGTCATGATGGCACGCAGAGCTGCCTACTCTTGCACCTCACTATCGGTTCTCCAGCCGCTTTCTTAGCTCTCTTTCTTTCTGGAGCACCTCCAGCTCCAACCTCTCAATGCCATAACGTAGAGCTTCCTTACGCTGGCGCACAATCCGCGCGCGCAGCTTGTCCTCGCCTCGGAGCTGCCGGCTCCTTGCCGAAGCAGGCCTAGATGCGCTGCGTGCCGGTTCATCAGGCCTAGTCAGCCGTCCTTGCTGCAACTCAGCCCGGGCCTTGAGCGTCTCAATGCGGCGTTCCTGGCGTTCGACTTGAGCATCGGCGCGGCTGAGGAGAAAGGCGATGTAGGGCCCAATCTCGTCGCGCAGGGAAGCCTCAGCAGCAGCGAGCGTGGGCTGGGGAATGAGTTCGTAGTGCTACGACAAAGAAGGGGGGGGAGGGTGGCCAGGTCAACGATAATGCACAGCGTATTTGTCGAAAAACGCAAGCTGAGCAAACAGGGAGGAAAGCACATACTCGAACTGTCTTGAGGACGTTTACGACGCGGGGGAAGTCGGATACGCCACGGTCAATCGTCTCCACGGAGGCCTCGAGGAATTTGAGAGAGTTGCGCAGCGAATCGACGCAGTCGGCATAGGTGGCCGCGCCGGTCGAACCCGTTCTGGCAGCCATTGGAGCCCCCGGAGTTCACGATGCCGAGATTTCGGGAGGAGTTGGGAGGAGGCAAGGCAAAACAGGATGAGCCCAAGCCCGATTCGTGGCGAGGTCTCTGGCTGGAGAATGTGGGGAAGATGCCGTGGTGTTTTGTGGTCTGGTATTGTCTCGCGGAGGACGAGAGGAGCCCGCGTGCGAGGTTGAGTGTGAGTGTGAGCTCAAGGGTAAGGAGCTGCGCGCGTCCGTCTTCTGTAGCTCTCTCTATACAGTATGGCAGCCACGATCTACGAGCGTCGCTGCTTTTGCATGTGCCGATTGAGACGGATGGTGGTTTTGCAGAGCTGGTGATGTTTACATGTGCAAGTACTTGTGACAGCGCCAGGCCTTGCGCCCCGCCATAAAAGGCAAGCACCGCACCACCGCGCCTGGCCGACTAGCAACAGCCCCACACCAGCTCTGCCGTGGCTCCGGCAGGCGCATCTCGGTGCTGTGGGGTCGTGCTTGCCTCGAACTCGAAGCCAACAACCTTGAAGTTACAACCCAACGGCGAGGGAAGGAAGGTGCTGAAGATTCTGCCAACACGTGAGCCTGACTTGTCGGGAACCTGCCCGATCTAGAACCAGCTGGTTCGCAAACAAACTCAACCCTCTTCAACTTCTGCCTTGATCTGCCCAGCTCCCCTCCTTTGGCTTCTTCGCACCCCCCAGTTCCGCTCGTCTTGATTCGCCATGTCTCGCCCTTGAGCCTGCGTCTAATTGCCTTGGAATGTCGCCTCATACCAGGTCGTCGTCCTTGCCCTCACGCGCTCTCGAGCAACCGCCACAACGGGTTCCAGCCTCGCCTCGAGCTGCCAGAGTCGAGTCACTCCTGTGCCATTTGTTCGACAAGCCGCTCGCCCGCCTCTGGGCAACTCATTGTTCATCCTGACGCAGGATGGCGATGATCCTTGTACTTGGAAGCTAGATGCTGGATAAAGCATCTCGATCTTCGGCTCTAGCGGTGGGTCAGTCCGCATCGGCGAGATTCTGCGGCTTAGTACCGCTTCCTATGCGGCTCAAGCCTCTTCCATGCTCCTGTTCCAATGCTTCTAAAGACCGTTTCAACCGCTGTCTTGTGGGAGGTGTAAGTGGTGTCCATCGTGTAAGCCCATATGCAGATACCTCGAGTCCTCAGCTTGGTTCAATAACAATACCACTAACCCGAGCCCCTTAGAAATTCGCGGCACATATGCTAATGACTCTGGTTACGCATGCCAGCGAAGCCATCGTGAAATGACCCGTGTCCCTTTAGATGGAGCTAACAGGCGATGAGATACCATCGTGACCTTGCCCAACCAGAGGAGCGCCTTGCGCCGCCCAATCTGTGTGCTGCCGTCTCTTCTCTCTCTCATCTCACGATACCACCCGGTCCGGCGACGCCGTTCTCAGTTGACACCCCCCTTTTTCGACGCTTGACACCCCAATTCTATGACTAAATGTACAGTAACTCTCCCTTGCCGACTGAGACGTCTTGTCTGCCAGCCATTTTCCCAGTGCTAGCCTTCCAAGCGCCCGCAGCAATGAAAATCACTACTTAATGCCGGGTCTCCTGTGTTCTCCAGTTATTATGTTCCAGCCAGCCCCAGCTTTGAGTACCGGAGTTGTTCACGTTGAATAGCAGGGCTTGATTATACCTCTTCCATCCTCAGCTACACATCCTCCGAGGCCCTTCAAAGTATTCGTGGGGGCCGTCTTTCCCCGACATGGTCATAACAAGCTTACAGAATGAGCCACGGACTCGATAACCTCACCGGCCTCGCCACCGAGGGTATCGGTCTGCGCTTTCTAAATGAAGAATGGAACGATAGCATCTCAAACGGCCATCCATTCGCCATTCAATGGAACGAGTCGCTGGATGGGACTCAGGCACCAGAGCTTGGGCTGTTCAAGATTACATATCCCAAAGACGGCGTCATCGCATACGAGCTGGTATCAAATCTGACAGGTGTGTATTATGGCCCCATTGAACTAAGCGATACCGACAAGTCCTTACAGCCCTTTAGGCAGCATGAACAATGAAAATGCAACATGCTTGTGGACACCAAGCCATTTGGACGATGAATTATATACTTTGTGGCTCTCATCCTCTCGAGATGCTCGCTCAAATTGGACGGCGTCTCCGCCTTGGAGACTCAAAGAAACTGTAAGTTTCTCAGTGGTCTTGATTCTCCTAGAACGCCGAAAGTTGACCATGGCTACAGCCCCGACATTCACTTCATTGGGCCGCCCCTGTTGTTATCCCCATTATTGTGTTGCTCGCAGTATACACCTTGGGACTCACCACCTGTATCGTATATCGACGCCGAAGAAAGGCAAGACGGGAGAGGGAGAAGAGCAAGGGAAAAGATCTTGAAAAGGATAGATCAAGCCAGACGCGTCTCCTTGAGGATGCGGAAAGACATCCTTCCGTCGATACTATCCTCACTATACAAAGCCTTGATGACACAGATGAAGTCAGGAAGCCGAATATTTGGCTCCTGACACAGTCTGCCTCAGGATCCCTTCTACTATCATCTCCGAGCAGGAAGAATTCCGACGCAACACTGGTCTCGACTACGACTCAAGCATCCGATCAAGTCCTCATATCCCCAATCAGCTTCTCAGAGCAAAGCCTTCAAAGCCTCCAAAGCCCCATAAGCATAGCTTCTGATAGGACATTGGTCACGCTATCAGACCCGAGAGACCAAAAGGCCGTCATTGCCGGTAGACTAGGGCGTTCTGTGAGAGTGATTATACCGTCTGACGATGTACGAGTGCAAGAGTGAGATTTGGAGGCACGTTTGTGTAAGCATATGTCGGGCATTTGGCAATGTGAAGAATTTTATATTAATCGCCAGCCGGTACCCCGCGGGACTTGAGCTGGTGTTGCATCGATATGGAAAATGGCGGAAAATGTGCGAATATGACGATGTTTGTGTTCGAGGGAGGTTTTAACTGTGGACTTTGGCTACCCATAAACACGATGGATATATTTGTAGCATGTAATGATAATTTGGATCTTTGTCTCTCTCTCCCTCTCTCTGCCTCAACTGACGTCCACATACCATTCACAGCGACCAAAGCATGATTGGCCAATATGTATATTTGTATTGGTATTGTTGGTCAAGCTGCAGAGCATCACGCACTCCTGTCACACTTGACTCAATCTGTATGTCCAATGACATGTTGAAAACAACTCATCCAAGATCCCCCTTAGTCTCAAGACTAGATAGATAAAAACAAAAAGTGAAACAAAAAATTGCAGATTCTCTCATATCATCCCTTTCCCAATGTTGAGATTAGCCGGTGCTTTCATAACCATAAAAATAAAAACCAATCAAAATTGTAAAGTCTTTCGATCTTTCTCGTGTTTTTCTCTCTTTTTTTAATAAACCCCGCTATGCGCCGTTTCGTTCTTATATAGATAAAAACCATGTTGAAATGTTTTGGTTCCCCTCCTTTTTTTTGTCCGTCCCGAGTTTGTTCCTGTGTTTTGGTTTGTTTGTTTTGCCCCTTTTAAAAGAAACCCGGTCAAGGGATTTACTTTTTTGGGTAAAAAAAAGTCTAATTATGTCGTGATATTTACTGAATGAATGATGCTGGAATGTTTTGAATGAAGACGGGGGATGGGGAGTTTCCCCCCCGCCGATAAAGTCGTGTCTGGTGCATTTAAGCAGAGCCGGTTGTGTCCTCGACAGGAGGGCATGTGCAGAACAGGTTGGTATCGCCATATGCTGCAAGGGGTTGTTAGTCAAAAGATAGAATCAGAAAGGGGGCAGTCGGAAACTCACTATCGTCTACACGGCCAACCGTTGGCCAGAACTTCTTCTCGAGAAGATACGGCAGCGGGTAGGCCGCCTTCTCCCGAGAATAAGGTCTGTCCCACTTGCCCTCCGCATCGCCGAGGATCAAGTCCCTCTGCGGGTGAGGGGAGTTCTTCAGCACATTGCCCTCCTTGGGCTGCTTGCCCTCCTCAATCTCGCGAATCTCGTTGCGGATGCTAATCATGGCGTCAATGAAGCGATCCAGCTCCTCCTTGCTCTCACTCTCGGTGGGCTCAATCATGAGAGTGTTGGGCACAGGCCAGCTCATAGTAGGAGCGTGGAAACCATAGTCCTGGAGACGCTTGGCAATATCGATGGCCTCGATGCCGGCGGTCTTCTGGAAGGGGCGGGCGTCGACGATGAACTCGTGGGCGCAACGGCCCTGGTCGTTGGTGTAGAGGATGGGGTAGTGGCCCTTGAGGCGGGCCAGGATGTAGTTGGCGTTGAGGAGAGCAACAGTGGTAGCCTTGCGCAGACCCTCGTCGCCCATGGTGGAGATGTAAGCCCAGCTGATGGGGACAATGCTGGCACTGCCAAAGGAGGCGCTGGAGACGGGCGTCTGGGTGCTCTTGTGGGGGAGGTAAGGGACGAGGTGCTTCTTGACGCAGATGGGACCAATGCCAGGGCCACCACCGCCGTGGGGGATACAGAAGGTCTTGTGCAAGTTCAAGTGGCAGACATCGGCGCCGAGAGCGCCAGGGGAGGTGAGTCCGATCTGGGCGTTCATGTTGGCACCGTCCATGTAGACGAGACCGCCATACTGGTGAACAATATCGCAGACCTTTCGGACCTGAGGCTCAAAGACACCGTATGTGCTGGGGTAGGTGATCATGATGGCGCCCAACTCAGAAGCGTGCTTCTTGCACTTGGCTTCGAGATCCTCCAAGTCGAGGTTGCCGGTCTTGGTGTCACACTTGATGGGGACAACACGCATGCCGACCATGGCGGCGGACGCGGGATTGGTGCCGTGGGCAGAAACGGGAATCAAGCAGATGTCGCGCTTGTTGCCGGGCTGCTGCTCGTGGTATTTGCGAATGGCCCGGAGACCGGCAAACTCACCTTGAGCACCGGAGTTGGGCTGCAGAGATGTAGCATCCATGCCAGTCAGGGCAGCCAGCTGAGCAGAGGTAGCGTCAAAAAGCCTCTGGTAGCCCTTGACGCAGCTGTGGGGTGCGTG